CCCCCTTCCCCCCTCCCTTATTCCAGTGGTTTTTTCCCTCCCCCCGGCCCCCCCCCCCCATTTCTCCTCCACACTTTATCACCGAGCACTCGTAGCTTGTCTCTTGCCTCAACTACACAGGCATCCCAAGCTGAAGTTATTTTGACCGCTTTCCCAGCATGACGTCAAATGGAGCGTAAGTGACCCATACATTGTTGTTTTTTTGTTTGTTTGAACACAGAGGATCTGCCCCTGCATAATTAATATGTAGGAATGGCATTAAAACTGTTAAGACCCCCGGTATGAAATATAGCTAATTTTCAGGCGTTATTGCTTTTAAACGGACGAGAGATGTTGCATCGCCCAGCAACCTGCAAATTTTTTGTTCAGATACAGGATCGGGTGTAAGAAAAAAAATATGATCACTTGCATAAATCATTGCATGTTTCTCGTCGATGTATTAGACGTCTAGTTTTATTGGAGATAATATTTATTGGAGATAATATGATACTCGTATTTGTGTGTGGTTAAAGACAGTTATTCTTGCCATATTGTCGTAGAACTGATGTAGCTTTGAAATTGCTTTTAGATGAACATTTAATGGTGTTGCTCGTAGCACAAGTAATTTTACAATTTACAATACTACATATTTATATTGCACTAGCGAAATCATCCGTGGTTAACTGCATGGTAGTGAGTGTGTGGGGGTTGTGGGTGTGCAAAGGTTGTGGGCGTGTGGAGGATGTTGCTGTGTGGAGGTTGTGCTGAGTAGATGTTGTGGGTGTGGAGGATGTGGGCGTGTGGAGGATGTGGGTGTGCGGAGGTTGTGGGTGTGTGGAGATTGTGGGCGTGTGAAGTTTGTGGGTGAGCAGAGGTTGTGGGTCTGTGGAGATTCTGGGGGGGGATGAAGGTTGTGCTAGTGGAGGTTGTGGGTGTGCATAGGTTGCTGTGTGTGGAGTTTGTGGGTGTGCGGAGTTTGTGGGTGTGCAGAGGTTATGGGTGTGTGGAGGTTGTGGGTGTGTGGAGGTTGTGGGTGTGTGGAGGTTGTGGGTGTGTGGAGGTTGTGGGTGTGTGGAGGTTGTGGGTGTGTGGAGGTTGTGGGTGTGTGGAGGTTGTGGGTGTG